AATTGCGAAGTTCCCGTACAAACTTGTTACCCACAGTCAGCTAAAACAGCTGTCTTTTATAATTTCAGCGTGGTACGACATGTTTATGTGACGTGGACATTTTTTTACGATTTTTGGGAATTGTTTCGCATAATTATTATGACAATTTCTTTGTTCACCCATGAATATGATGATGACGTGTGAGATACGGGAAAATTTACGATCTGTGTGAAATAGATAAAATTTTAATGTAGTCAAATTAAGTAGAAGAGCTTGTATCAGATATCATACACTTGATAACTGAGTGAACTTAATTGATGTGAATACATATTTGTTATATTAATCCTTTAAATGTTGATATTTACAGTAAATGCTTCAAATTGAGTATACTCAGATTAAAAAATTCCGATTTATTTTGTTTAGCGCAGATTAATACTTAAATTTTATCCATATTTATGCATAAACTCCCGTTACAATGTCCATTGCAGAAGCAAAAACTGCAGCAAAAAAGTAGAATCTCCTTCCTATGCATAGACTTGACACAGTTTAATAGATTGTAAAACTGTGGCCTTGGCTTGTGTTTTCTGGAAAAAAAGAAACAGGTTGCTATTTCATCGCCGATCTCTGTTTATGAAAGAGCTCTGCCCTTAATGGTTTTAAGGTTCCCAGGAAGACAAAAGTAGAAATGCTTTTAACCCATATAGACCTACCGTACCTTATATGGTACAGTAACTTTCTTAAATAATTGCGTCGTACCTGAGGGTAGATTTGTTTTATTTATTTATGTGAATGAGCGAAACTATAGAATACTTTAGTTTATAAAAGACAAAAACGTTATTAGTTTCAGTATTTTGAAGTTTTAATTGGGTTTTTGTCATAAAAACAATAAAAATAATCTACTATGTCTTCGAAAATTCACAATATTTATTATTGATTATATTATTTTGCAGTTTTTTTGTGAAGTTTAGAGTTTAAATAAATGTTTGAAGAACAAAAATGTTTTACAAGTTATTTATATTAGGTATATTTATACAGTAGGTTTATGCATAAGCAAAATAAACGATAGCCATATGTTTTTAGATTTTTGTGTTCCATGGTTTTAAGTCATTGACGTTTTACGATTATGCTTCAAATCTTGAAGAAGGTGACGGTTTTTTCGACCAGGGTCTAGATCTTGATATTTTTTACTGCCGCCTGATGACCTTTTGTCTTCATCAGTTTGGTCACCGCCAACGATGATCAGACTGACTAAGACTCGGGTAAAGAAGATGTCTGTAGACATAAACAATTTGCCTCCAAATTTACTTCAAGGACCAGCAGAATCCACTGCTTTTAGAGAAGAGTCGGGCAAACCATGTGAGTCTCAAGAACTCTTGCAAAAACGTGTAATTGGAAAAAAAGAGGCTTATAAGCTAAAGCCATTACTGGGCTACCAGTTTATCACGTTCAATAGAAAGAAGTCTGATAGAATGGTTTTCCTTGTTCTTTTCTGATGATGTAATTGAGTTGCTGACGACTGAAACAAATAAGTATTTAGAACAAAAACTTGTTCCTGCTGATGTCAAGATGGAAGAAATGAAAGGTTTGATCGGAATTCTGTTAGTCAGTGGCTACTGTCAAGTCAGCAGAAGAAGTATGTTTAAGGGAAAACGCACCTAATCAACAAAAAAAAGATTCTGTGTCTCATTCGCTGGAAAAAATGTTAAATGCCTCTGATTCTGCATTGCATTGATATATCTGTGAAAAATGCATGGTTGCTTTACAGACATAATGGCAATCACAGGGACTTGATGGCAACAAACATAGCGAAAAACCAGGTCCGAGTCGACCATCTTCAATAACTTTGGAGTCGCGATATGACGATAAAGAGCACTGGGTTGCCAAGCATGAAAAGAGAACCAGGTGTGGATAATGTCACAAACGATGTTCAACAAGATGTGTCAATTGCAATATTGTTGTAGACGTGGAATATTTTATTATGTACCATTCAAAAATTAAGTAAATATTTGTGTCGTAATATCAAGTGTTTTGTATGCTTATAGTCCTACTGTACCACATAGGCCCCCCTGTGCCCCCCTTTTGTTATATATTTTTTTCTTCGTTTTTATATTAGTTTTTAGGCTCTTTTTAGCAAGTTTTTGTATAAAAAGCAAAATTTTTACTATAATAATTATCGGTCTATATGGGTTAATTCGTTCTTAATTTATTCAGTATGAGAAAAGTACTCTCTAATATAAATTCTCCATTTAATTACTATTTATTTATTCCCTTAGCAAATGTAAAAAGGAAAAACATTATTTTCATGACTCTGTCGGGGCTATGAACTGTTCCCAGATCTTCCGATTTTCCGGGATATCTCCCGTTACAATGTCCCGGATTCGCAATCAAAACTCCAGCTTTTTAAGAATATCACTGTTTAAACTTTCTTTAAGAAAAAACTGTGTAAAACAAAACAAAACGAAATGCTATGGAATGTAAAATACAAAACTTTATAAAATGCGTAACCTAAAGTATACTTTAACTTCTTGAAATAAAGTTGACTTTTTCGTAAATTCGATCTGGCATTACTGGTGCTACGTTACTGGGATACAATTTGACATAGGTATATCGTATATAAAACCTTTATTTAGCAGCAAATAAGAGCGATAATCGAATTGCCAGTGAAACAATTATCAGAACTGTACTTGAGTGAAGAGGAAGCCAGTAGAAGTGTCAATTAAAAAGTATGCGAAATATTTTGGCACAGTTCTGGAATTCAACTTTTCTCACCTGCGCGAGTATATTCTGAAATGTTAGAAAAATAAAGTTTGTTAGTATTTATTATAACAAAGTATTTGCAGACACGTTGGTTGAAGCACTTTTCACAAATCACTTGTCACTTCTGATCGTTGAGAGTTTTTTACCCGGCTGCGCAATGCAAGAGCGCCAAGCGTGACGCGCAGACAGGGTATAGTGTTTAACTTATTTGACTGCTTTTGCGTAAACGGACGAATGAAACGGTTTATTGCAATTGAATAAGTACAATACCATCTGCCTCATTTATCAGCTTAGTACAATTCAAACTATATTTCAAGTGAGAGCAAATTAAGCGCAGCTTTCAGTTTAGCAAAACCCTGCATGCACATACATTTCGTTCACTGTGTAGGGACTTGCACTAGCTTCACAGCCGCCTAAAGTTTTAATCGTACTATATTGGTACTACTTACACACCTTCATATTCACGTTATCAACGCATCTGAGCTCATTCAGAGGTGCTTTTCTCCGAGGCAAACAGCCCCGCTAGAAAACATTATTTCATCACAGACATAAGCACGATACAAATAAGAAGACAATGATAGGACTAAGATATAGAGTACAATTTATTGCAATATTTGGACTACAAGCATAGACCACGTACACGGCATGAGCCGGAAGATTCTAATTTTTTAATATCCAAAAAGAGTTTTGTTGTCTCCATAGTCTAATCGGCCAAGGACTCAAGCGTCAAATCAGCTTATTTTATTGTGTACACATGCTGTTCCCTTGATAAGTTTCAGTTTGTGGATCGGAGCCTTTGTTACTAATAAGCGGACCACTCAATGCTAGCCACTTTGTATTCGCGGTAGAAGTATTAAGCTTTCAGTCTTCTGAAAGGTTGAATAGGTATGTATTATGCATGCATTATTAAACGTAGTATCTTTGTGCTACGACAGCGGACAAAGCCGCCATAGATGTGTCGTAAGCTGGTCGTAACACATCTACGTCTGCCCCGAGCTGTCGTAGAGCCGGGGGCTAAAAATTAGCAACTTCAATTATGCACTATTATCAAGGTAACAAACAGGTAGTTTGCTATGAGAATACCCGTTTGCGGGTGTCCTAGAAATAAACACATCAAAAAAGTCTAACCAACACGTAACATTTACAGAAACTGATGTTCTGACTTTTTTGATGAGTATATAAAAGAAGACTGCCCCATCAGAATTATTGAGCTGAGCTTGAGCATCATCGTTTCATGCTCAGTGCCTAGCATATAAAACTATTATGGAATGTAATGCAATGAATAATAGTTAGGCTGACATAGTGAGGGCTGCTGGTGTATCTTTGCCCCGTAGCACTGTTATCTGCGGGCTTCACAAATGTCTCTACTGTCTAATGAAAAGAAAATTTGTATTGGTAAAAATCAAGTCGTCTCAGGTATCAGAAAACCACATACAAACATTACCTCCATCATTACATCAGTCCCCGTAGCATGAGCAACACAATTTAAATTATTTTATCGCGTCTAACTGTCAAACTAAAAAGTAATTGAGGGTGATAACAACGCGTTATATATATTATCGCGATGCTCATGCTAGGGGGGCAGGAGTATATAAAAACCGGCCAAGTGCGTGTCATGCCACGCGCAGTGTAGAATTCCGTAGTTGCCTATCTATGTCACTATCAATGTTTTCTTCTAAGAAATTTTCAATAGTTAAGAGATTTTCTTTAACTTAAGTTGAACGAATATTACTCTTAAACTAATAAATCTATCGTAACCGTTATACATTTCCTTGAAAGTTCATGAAAAGCACTATTATCATGAAATTTTCCAGATTTTCAAGTCAATAGTTTAGCTTTTAGAAGGGGGGGGGGGAACTACTCGAACAAAATTAACAGTTTAAAGTTCAATATTTCGCAAACGGATCCCTAAATCGAAAAATAGTCTAAAGAGGATGAAAAAGTAATTTTAAAGAACCTACTTAACGATACCCCATGCGATAGGGTTGACGATGTAAAAAAATCATCCCTATACATTTGGAAACCTAAAAAATGAGCTTACGAGATCTGCGTTTTGGAATAGGTTACGAAATTTGCGATTGAGGTAAAATAAATTATCTTAACCCTTCGGACCTGAATTTATATAAAGCATCAATAAAAATATTTTTAAGCTTTTTCTGTGTATTAGATGTGCAGTTAAGGGATTTTTGTATAAATTAGCGACTTACCGTTTTTAGATTTTTGGAAAATTTGATGTTCATTGGAGTGGACATCAGCTTTTGAGTGTTGTATTAATACGTATTTAATAAATAAATTATTTGTAGTACTATTTGGAAGTAGGTAAGCAAAACTATATAATATTAGTTTATTTATTACTTTACACTGTTAGGATTACTATTGTTTTTGATGAAATTTTGGAAAGCAATTTCGCTCACTAGTAAAACATAGATGTATTTCACATTTCAGGCAGTAAACATGCGTCTTTCCTTTACATCCTGGATTTTTACATCTTGTAGCTTCTTTCTTTTGATCGTATTCTGGCAGATGGTCGACAGTGTCATACTGGATTTCACTAGCTGGTCTTATTTCAGTTCTGAAACGATGTCGTTTTCGTGTAACTGGTAAATTTACTGGACTGCTACCACCAGATGCAGGCCGTCCTCTTTTTCTGGAAGGAATTGGATGCCCCATTTTTATGAGAGCCTGTGCAACACGCTGCCGAAAGTGCAACAGATCTAAAACGTCTGTACTTGGTATATTACAGGTTTTGCAGTCTTCTTGGTAATTCTAGCCAGCTATTGGTTAGTGCTAGGTCAATGGCGTGAAATATCATACGTAATGTCCATTTTTTGGATCTAATAAAGATACGATACAAACTGATCATCTCTGTTGTTATATAATTTGCACAAGTTCAGGACGCGGTATAGTAACCTATTTTTTAGCTACTTTATTCCATCGTCGCACTTCATCTTGGTTTCCTGTTCCAACAAAATTTGAAGCAAGTACTACACCTTTGTTGTCCATCCATTTGATAACAACCACATCGTTGGTATTATTCGTAACTTGATCAGTATATCCCTATCTTTTTTTGATCCTTCCTTATCGGTTATGAGTGGTGGTTTTCCAAAACGATTTATTCTGATCGTTCCTCCTGCATAAATTTCTCTCTCGCGAAGATCCTTCAGCAAAACGTAATTGGAAAAATAATTGTCAAAAAAGAGGTAATGACCAGACCTTTTTATTATTTTTGACAAGGCATTTACATAACCTGCAGATGTGCCATATTTCAAAACGTCAATTTAGTCTAGTAGTTGTAGTTGCGCCTTAATAAATGATAAAATCGTAAACTAATCCACGCTTACCGCAAATTATAAATATCTTTACACCCCATGGCTGTGGCTTTCCTTTGACATATTGTTCGACTTCAAGTTTTCCTCGGAAAGGTACAATCTGTTCATTAACGCTCAATATTTGCTCTAACTTTAGTTATAGACATCGTTTTCTAACTGAATCATATAAAAGACGAACTTTGATAAAACGGTCAGTATTATTTTGTGGAATAGAATTATTATCAATTACATGCAAATTGTTTCTCATCTGAAGAAATCTATCTCTGGCCATATTCTCTAAGAATATTTTCATATCTAAACTAGAATCCCAATACAAACGAATACGAGGAAACTTCAGGTTACCCATTATGATATAAAGACCCAAAAATATTTTCATTTCTGTTGAATTACATGGCTTGAAATTACGGACTTCATATCGCACCACATACAAATTTGTATTGAATGTAAAATCTTCAATTAAGGACTCTGTTATATATTTAGAAAAGTAATCGATGGGAGCGCGAGGTGAATCTATTTCAGAAGGTGCTAGAGCTGACCAAATGAATTGTGGTGATTCAAGCTGTAAATGTTTTCTCCAAATTATTTCATTTTTCGGCTTACTACTTGATCCCGGTCTTGGTTCTTCCTCCTCTAAGTCTTCTTCCTCTACCATATCTTCTTCCTCTTCAGTCATCAGCTATTACTCTTTCGCTTGGTAGACTTATACTACTACCCACACGTACATTTTGATCTTGATATGGTATTACTTGTACAATTTCATCGTCACTTTCTTCGTCGAGATCCGATATTGTTCCATTCTCTAATAAATTTAATAAATTATTCACATCTTGGCTTTTGGATAGATCAAAACCTAAAAAGGAATAAAAATGGCATGTATATTTCAGTACAAAATCTTATGGTAAATACGAACGTTCTACAACGATTGTGACCCTATGTCCACTGAAATGGACATAGCTTCATCTGCAATATTTTATGACAACAACCAACTAGTTTGTGTTTTTTGTAAATGAACATCTTAGCAAATATTATCACTACACACAATTAAAAATATCTAAACAATCGATCAAGTCGTTATAGAGTAAATAAAATAAAACTAAAGACTTACTTGCTTTGTGGATGGATACCATGGCGAACGTCAACACTTGACTAATGATTTCTCCCTACACACAAATAATCCCATAGTGTTTTGTTTCTTGTAACGTTTCTGGGTAAGTCGCCGGTACAGTCAAATATTTACACTAGCATTTTTATTATCCTGTTTCATATTCCATGTAATAATACATCGTGTCCATTGAAATGGACGCTGGGTCCGAAGGGGTAAAAAATAGCAAAAAAATAATATTGTCTTCGTTTATTTGATTGTTTTATTGTTTTGCTGTAAAAGCGAAAATTAATGCAAACTGTATAAAATTTTAACTGCGGTTGTCTGATGGATTGTCCATCCATCAGTCAGCCGCAGTTTAAATTTTTATAGAGTTTGTACTAATTTTCACAGTTGCGTTATCACCTTCGATACGGAACCCTGAAAGCCGTGATCTGCTAATAATATTGCGTGATTCAAAATAACCAAAAGTTTCATTCATATGATTCACATTTTTTAAAAAATTTATATATTAAAACTGTACGTTTATTATTTATGAACATCCCACGCTGTTTTTTTTAATTCTGAGAACCAGTTGAGGTTTGGGAGTGGTGACGTTATGAACTAAGTTTAATTCCTTAGGCAAGCTGGTGACAAATCCTAGCAATACCTATTATTAATACTATTATTATTATTAAATACCTATTATTAAAGTTTGTATATATTTCTTACTCAATCACGCAAAAATTACTCAACGGATTTGGTTGAAATTTGGTATGCATATAGTTTATTGTGACCTGGATTGAGACAAAGGTTACTTTTTACCTCAGAAAATGTTAGGTTCCCGTGGGATCCTCATATAACCAAAGTTAACGCGGACGAAGTCGCGGGCGGCCGCTAGTGGTTTCATATATCATTGCATTATTTGCAGCGATTGTATTATTTTTGGACAACATCTTTTAAGATGGGGATAGGGTGGATTGGGTCTACCCAATCAAAGCTGTGGTTTCAAATGATGTTGATAATATACTTTTTAAAAGGACCTTATTTATCTTGGAACACAGTTTCGCAAATAGAGGCTCGCAAATATTTAAGTTTGTCAAAATTAAATTAAAGTATAGAACTCGGCAAGTAATTATTAGCTTTGGATGTTCAAATGTAAAGTATGTATTAAGTTGTTAGAACCCCTATAAATACTAGGTAAATAAAAAAGTATTTACAGTATATGTAACATTTTTGATAGAGGCCGAATGAACCTAGAAGGCAGTTTGCACTTTGTTGGGTGTGTTTTCGAATTGAATTTTTCCGGTCTACTACATAATGATAGTGGGTGAAGTAAACAAATAATAAAAAAATACCTACTCATTTAGGAGACCTTTTGAAAAGTATTGGAAAAATTTGCCTTATCAGCACTATTATCTTTTAACACCTCTTTTTCTCGAGAAATGTGATATTTTCAAAACATATGTAGCAAAGATTTACTAAAACTGTTACTGTTATGCTTAGTTTGAAATTATTTTAAAACTTAATAGGTACTTAAATACGTACATTTCAGTTTGTACTCAAGTACAAGTACATAATGTTCTGCCATTTCTACTTTGATAACTGTATCAAGTTGATACGTTTATTTAAGGAAGTTTTAAATTTTAATAATGTAAGTAAAGGTCATACAGGAAAAAGCGTGCGGCCTAATAGTGTTCCTGACGGAAGGTTCAACCATATGGGTCCGCCAAGAAGTTTGATGGGTGTACAACTTGGCTCATTTCGTTTTATTATGAAAAAGTTTTTAATGCCGCCATGTAAAGGCCTCTTTGACGAACTTCCACGATCACTGTCGAACAGCTTTCATGCAAAGTTTTTAAGAGTTTTAATAAATTATTATTAAGAGTTGTGTTTCACATGTTTCTGGAATTATGTTGCGTTATGAAAAAACACCCTTCTATAGATTGCTCACTGGCTTTCTGAAACAAGAATTTTTAAAATAAAACATCGCGTAGAAATCTCTCTTTTTTTGCTTATTGATAGTAATTTCAATAAAGATCAACATTAACAAGATCGGCTATATAAACAACTTCAAAAAAATATAGTTTGTCATATTTTTTTTAAGTGCGTAAGAAAATTTATGTTTTCTAATTTCACTTGACTAATAGTCTGAGTATTTGACATTACTACGCAGTTATTTTTGTGTGTGACACCAAATTGCTTACGAAGTCGACGTGATGTCGGCAAAATACTATTTTTAAATAACTGTATTATTTTTAAGGGCTAACTGCCTGCTCTTTATGTCCGAGAGCGAATTCTCAGGAAACGATAATGAGTCTTTTCAATATCAATATTTAAGTTTAAAACAATTTCTTCTATTAAAAATATATTCTGGTAGTCAGTTTTCAGTTAGGAAATGCTTAGAAGAACAAATTAGTTTGTTTAAATTAGCAAATAAAAGTAAGGGTCAATGATATATTTTATGGTACTCATCGGCCAACCGTGATATTTTCTAAAACAAAGCTCGGTCTTGCACCATCCTGCACCAGCGCTGTCATTAGGATCATCTGTAGGTAAATTGCACAGAACAGAAAATGCTTTTTAATTTGTACTACAACCGATTTCAAACGATAAAAATATATTCTAATAGATTGGAAGAACGAACATTGCAACGAGCAGAGCGATAGTTGAAAGAGAAGAAAAAAAAATCTTTGTATTTTGCTGAAAATACCAGCAGTGTTGAATTCCCCCCTAAGACGGCGGCGGCTACAAATTTAAACGTCAAGCATCAAATCAGTTTTAGTTTTTGATTACACAGATAGAGCACGAGTAAAGAAGCGTACGTTAGGTTAGGTTATGACATCTCAATTTCTTGATACAATTTCGGGACTTCCTGACGTCAGTAAATTGTTAATCATGGTTCGGCTAACTTCACATGACAAGAATCTAGCTACAGTTTTTTTAAATAATTTTATATTACTAAAAAAATATATCTTTCTCTTTACGAAGTAATTTTCTAAACAAAAACCGAATAATGTTTAATTGTCAATCTAAACAATAAAAAAAAGGAAATATAAATCATTATTTTCATTCATTTCATTTAATAATATATAATTAACAAATATAATATACATATTATATTTAAAATATATTAACAATACTTTTTTTTTACTTTAAGTTGCCCTTGTCCGATTTACAGCGCTATAAATAACGGTTGAAAATAGAAAAAAAGTACGAAATAAAGCGAAAGAAACATCTGTATAAAGTAAAACCGCTGTGTGTGTAGCGACACAAGATTGCAAATTTCACAGATTGTAATAATCTGTCAATATCTCTAAAGTTTGTGTTTTTTCAAATAAATACGTAGCTACGTTTTTGGTTAAGTTAGTAGAACCAAAAGCAAAGCCTGTTATTTATTATGTTATTTCTAAAAAATACTTTTTTTTTCTAACATACCTACTTACCGAAATTTTTATGCTGTAATATGCAAATAAAAAAAGAAACTCATTAGATTTATAACACACACATAGGTACCTTTGGTAACTAATCCCTAAAAAGTAAAATACTGATGAATTATTATGAAGTATTTTTATTACCATTCCAAATACAGCTTTACATTTACCATTTCTTGATAATGCCGTTTCACTATTTCCTGACGTACCTACATTATTTTGGATATGACTCAGTAACTGAACCAAGCTTAATCCTTGTTAATTTATTATGGGGGATGTGGTATGAAAATATAAGATGGGTATAGGTAAGTCAATAAGTGCTCAAAACTTTGTAAAATGTCTTGTCTATGTTTGTTCTGTACCTACGTGCATGTCGTTTGTTTTACTCTGCATTCATTTTGATACGACTAACGAGTTAGAAAAATACTATTCTCTTCATAAAGGACGAAATACAGATAAAAAAAGCGGCCAAGTGCGAGTCGGACTCGCCTATGAAAAGTTCCGTAGTAGCAAGTAACATAAAAATGGGTGCGTGTACTTATGTAGGCGCGTGAGAAGTTATCCTTCTTTGGCATCGTTTAAAATTAGTTTTTAATTGCATGCAAATAATTAATTACAATAAATTAATAAAAAGTCTGGAAAAGGACACAGTCAATAAAGTTCAGTTTTAATTTGAAAAAATAAATAAATAATCAACATATTCAATTAAAATCGCTACTGAATATAATTTATTAGAACATATGTGATTTGCATTTGTATGAAACTCAAACACGTATTCCGAATATACAAACTAGAAACATGTGGATAAATATTATAAATATGAATACCTATAACTGTTACTTTATTACAAAAAATAAAGATGTGGTTTTTGGTTCTACTACACCAATGGTCAAGAGATGGCGCTGTAGTCTCCTGAATCGCGCTTTGGTTCCGTT